TTTAAGAATTTCCGTAAATAAGTATATCGAATTGGCGATCATTTCTCATTCAGGGAATGATTAAGAATGCATCAAAAATTTATGCAATTTGACATCATTTTGACAAACTAAAATTTGATCTTACTTTTATGTCATTTTGATCTTTCTGTTCTCCTTGGGCAGGATTTTGATTTATGATCAATGTCAAATCGATTTCGCAGTTTGAATCGACAGGAGGTCGACATGGGAGTCAAAAAGACATCGATGTCGATGTCAATTTCGATCTCATTTCGAACCCACTTTTCGACGTCGAATCGACGTCGGGTCGACAAATTGTTTCTCGACCGAACAAAATCCTATGGGCCCTCTCCCCGCTCGTACGCAGACCGTGATCACACGTGTAAAAACGTGCGTATAATATTCCGCACATATAGGCCATGTCTGTATCGCGCATAACATCGGTCACTAGCCTAGCGAAAATTGGAAAATCTGCAGCCTTGACCGAATATGTACGTTCAACATCCGTCGTTAGATTTCTAAACCCCGTCCTTGAAGTTTCCACGTCGACAGGAAGTCTTCTCGCTGCAGCCTCGATTATATGAAGGATAAAGGCCGAACAGACCGCGCGAAGGTGATCGTCCAGACAGGCTTTGCCCCGACCTCGACCGCCACGTGGCGGCGGGACTTGAGCATTAACAAAGAAGTCACTGTCGACGCTGTCCAATTTAAATACGACATAAACAGGCTGCTTGTCGATGGTCGCAATAGTAAATTCGTGCCAGACCTTGCGAGCCCCTCTTAACACGTCCTCGTCCTGCAAAATATTAGGCCGGCGCCGCTCCACAGGGAACAACTTGGCCCTCTGCTTTAAAACACTCGTTATTTTAGTGTTTTCGCAAACCGTAATCGATTTTGGACAAATATCGATTTTGGCATCCTTGTGGCATATGTAAGATTCGAGAGAACGACATAAAATCAAAATTGAGTCCACATCGTACGACATCTGTATATCGTCCGCGCCAATTTCAATAGGTTGCAAATCCTCCTCGACAAGAGGAGGATCTACCACCTCGGGATATCTCGAAAAACGTCGGGTGATATCCATCTCGCTCCAACTGGAGTGTCTCTCGACGATAAAGAAAAGAATCAACAGAACAGACTCGACGGACTGACTGTACGAGAAAGACTCGCAAGGGACTCGCGACGAGACTGACTCTCAATAAGACTGCAGACTCGACGAAAGTTTTCACCCCTACGTGACGATACTCGACAATACAGATTCGACGAACTCCGTGCGAGAAGAAATATACAGAAGATTCGACGAGACAGACTCGACGGACTGACTGTACGAGAAAGACTCGCAAGGGACTCGCGACGAGATTGACTCTCAATAAGACTGCAGACTCGACGAAAGTTTTCACCCCTACGTGACGATACTCGACAATACAGATTCGACGAACTGACCGTGCGAGAAGAAATATACAGAAGATTCGACGAGACAGACTCGACGGACTGACTGTACGAGAAAGACTCGCAAGGGACTCGCGACAAGACTGACTCTCAATAAGACTGCAGACTCGACGAAAGTTTTCACCCCTACGTGACGGTACTCGACAATAGACTTGGCGAACTGACCGTACGATAGGAATAATACAAAAAAATCGACGAGACAGACTCGACAAAATACACTTGACGAGACCAAATTTACGATAAACACGACGCACGCACTGTGCTACACCGACTCGACTGCACACTCGACGAAACAGACTCGACGAAATAGACTCGACGAGACAGAATCGACAATACAGGCTCGACGGACGCACTGTACAGGACAGACTCGACGACAGACGACTACAAGACTCGACGGACAAGCGAGATATCCTTCAAACTCGAGCAGCGAGCCGCTAAGCGCAGAGACAAAAATGTTAATGGCCACGTTCAGCAGACAGTCTCGATCAGTGAGCGCTCTGTGATTCTTTGTCAACGATAGGTTTATTCTCTCAGATCCAGCGATTCACCAGAAGCGCTAACTTATGTGATTGGTCTGCTCAACTTGGCCAATGTGAGTACGGCGGGAAATCCGGAAGTGAACGTTTCTGTATGTACACCTAGTCTAGAGTCCTAGATTATCAGAGAAGCGCGACCGGCTTATGGCAGTATCGCAAATGTACTAGAAAATATTAAAAATGGCGTTGAATGGCCAATCATAAGTTTGATTTATTCGGCAGCCATTTATAATAGCGATAAATCAATCTTATGATTGGCCATTTGCGTGTCCAATCAGAACTCGTAACACCGGTCGCGCTTCTCTGATAATCTAGGACTCTAACCTAGTCTTACATCCTAGTTACTTATTACTAGATAAACCTAGATGTCACACTGGCCTAGTTTACACCGTTAAATTAATTGATACAAGTATCAGGTTAGTGCGGACTAAGTATTTGATACGTTTCGCACTGTTTGCACCGTTTCATTTCAAAGTAAGTTAGGTTAGGTTGTTAGTCCAAATAAAGTCCAGATAAAGTCCTATACTGATTTTAGGTTAAAGTATGGAAAATAACGTAGAACAAATTATAACATCTTTTATGACGTTATTTGAACTATGTAATGTGCAACAAGAAGCCAGAAAAAAGTCTCAAGAATATAATGAAACGGATAAAAATAAAATTAAAAAAATTGTGCCTTTAGCAGAGAAATGAATTACTTATACAATGGAGTCTAATATCCGATCCAATATTACCATCCCTTATTTTAGATGGTATCCAATACCGAAGGATATGGACTAAAATAAGAAGCAACGATTTTTGGCAAAGAATCGTAGGAGAACATTTTACTCCAACAGAATGGCTTGCCACTTTTCGAATGTCAA